CCTTTTTTTACTTTTAATGAAAAAACAGATGTCTTTATGGTATTGTTTGTCAACTTTGTTACGGACAAATTAGGCAATGTGTAGAAATAACAATAAATCATAAAAGAAAAAAATAATTATTGTATCATTAGACAAACAGTCCTTACATTCCAACATTTAAAATCTGAGATAATTTTTCACCTATGCATACCTTAAAAATAATTTTTTTTAAAAACCACTAAGTCTTCACAGAATTGTCCGCTTGGAGCAAGTATTTTTCATCTGAAAATGTATTATATACAATATCCAGTAAATAAAAAAGAGAGAAATGTTGTTGAAATATTATAAGGGTGCATCATACCTCAATAATGTTTATGAGATTTTAAACAACAATTGTATAGTTTTTTTTGTGAAAATAGTTCATAAACAGAGTTGACCCTTTAAGTAACAGAATTGACAGAATTATCCGATGGACTGTCAATTCTGTTACACTGTTGTCAGCATTGTTACTCTACCTTGGTAACAGAGTTTGACGGTAACAGAATTGACAATTTTATTTTATTTTTGCCAAAAACTCCACTTGCTAGCATAAATGCTAAGAGCACATGGCACTAATGAAATCATGATTAAAATACCTTTAAATAACCCAATTTGTGATCAGTAATAAATTATGTTTTTTCTTCTGATATTGTGGTAACAGCGTTGACGTTCTTCAAAATAACTCTTGGTTTAAGAACTTTTTAGATTAAAATATTTCCTCAGAGAGAGCACACACACTTTTCATGCTTCAGATCTTATCGGTGCGGGAAAGTGACATCATTTCCTGTATCTTACATAGTTGTTAAAGGCAAAGTATGGTACGGTAACAGAGTTGACGCGAGATTTACAGACACACATTTTTATAAGAAAAAAGTTATTTTTAAACAATTTCATGTTGTAGAATTAAGTAAATTAGTATTTAGGGCTTTTATAAATAAAATGAATGAAATATTACAAAAAGAAAAGTACAATAAAATATTTTGATTACATGATGGAAAAAATGCACTGACTCATTCGGACAAGAAATCATGATTTTGAGCTATTTAAGACACTTTTTACACAAATTATTATATTGTTATTGACTGTAACATCGTGTAATTCATATAATAAGTAACAAATTATTAAAATGATGAATCATTTGAAAAAAAGCAGAAAAAAATAATGACTTCGGACACCAAATGTACCTGCAATTATAGAATCAGCCAGAAACAGAAGCAAAATGCTGCAAACATTTGGAGAACATATGAAGTCAAAGAGCACCGTATCTATTATATATTAACATATATTTACTCATGCAGTATATACATATATTGAAATATATATGTCTTATGTTTTGTTTAACAATCATTTATGACACACGTTTCATATTTTAAAATATAGCGATAGCTTACTATAGCATAAGCATACTCGCTCATACTAAACATTTAGTGCACAGCCATTGGTTTTTAAATAAAATAACATATAATTTAACAGTGTTTGGTCAATCGTCTTCCTGAACACAGACTCTACTCTTCTGCACAAACTTACACACACCAGAAGCACTTTACATTTCAAAATAATACAACATTAAACACTAACAGTTTTACTCTCCTTTAACAGTCAGAAGCAAAGCATGCTGGGAACTAGAGATCTGCTGCTAGAGTGTGGAGGCATATACAGACAATATACACAACAAAACTTGTTTCATAGCGATTTAAAGGGATAGTTCACCCAAAAATGAAAATGTGATGTTTATCTGCTTACCCCCAGGGCATCCAAGATGTAGGTGACTTTGTTTCTTCAGTAGAACACATTTGATGATTTTTAAGTTTAACCGTTGCAGTCTGTCAGTCATAAAATGCAAGTGGATGGGAATCACGGCTTTGAGAGTAAAAAAAAAACACAAACACTCTATATATTTCAGTCCAAGAAAATGCATTTTCTTGCCCCAGAAATATAAGGTTTGAAACTAAATACATTTCCTATTTCAAAAATATATTTCATTGAGCTTGTTTGCAACATATATTTAGCACATATTTCAATTATATTTTGGCCACAAATGTTTTTTTTTGCCATATGGGTGCCTCCATTTCTTTCTGTTTTGTTGCCACGACGGCATCATCGTCCACCTTGTCTTTAGCTTATGTTAAAACAGTGCTCCTGGCCACTACAAACATAATCTGCTGGACACACTCAGCCCCAAATGCTGCTCCTAAGTGATGTTCATGATAATGAGTGTTTAACATGTGCTTTGACTTTTATCAGACATGGGAGAGTCATACACTCCATACCACTGGAAGTGTGGATATTTGGACAGGACAAATCTTGTAGTTATTTACCTATAGTTGCAAAATAAGGTGGATAATATTTAACAACATATGAGTAGATTTCTCTTTTATTTTATATTAGACTTTTATTTTGGCGAGTGGCGCGCAGGAAGTGCGTCACATACGCTGGCCTCGCTTCCTGTGGTAAAGGGATTTCCGTCAACAACAGATAAATTTGATCAAAACATCAATGACAGGAAACTGGTTTTTCGTGATCTTTTAAGCTCGTTGGGATAAAATATATCTAGCTAAAGCTGATTTCAGTATTTACATTTGTTCAAACGAGTCTGACACGTAAGACAGAACGTTATTATTATTATTACCGCTTTGAGGATCTTGTTTATGAACTTATTTGTTGTTAGTTGTTTATTTCACTGTGAATACACGACAGTGTTCTTTTCTTTTCATGGTATAGAGATGGTATTATGGTAATAATATACCGTGGTACTGAATAATGACTTCTTTTTTATGTACCATGGTTTTTATGAAACTGACGGGACTCAACCTGCAGCAAGAGTCTGTTTTAAAACATAGTAATAATGAAAATAATAATAAAAATATTAAGTGTCACCGAGTTGTATAAATGACAGCGTCCTCTGGATCATGTAACAGCACTCTGTTTGCAGAGAAATCATTTAAATTGAAAAGTCTGCTGAATATGTCTCCCTGGAGCACAAAAGCAGTCTTAAGTCGCTGGGGTATATTTGTGTTTAAATTGAAAAGTCTGCTGAATATGTCTCCCTGGAGCACAAAAGCAGTGTTAAGTCGCTGGGGTATATTTGTAGCAATAGCCAACAATACATTGTATGGGTCAAAATTATACATTTTTCTTTTATGCCAAAAATCATTAGGATATTAAGTAAAGATCATGATCCATGAAGATATTTTGTAAATGTCCTACCGTAAATATATCAAAACTTAATTTTTGATTAGTAATATGCATTGCTAAGAACTTCATTTGGACAACTTTAAAGATGATTTTCTCAATATTTAGATTTTTTTGCACCCTCAGATTCCAGATTTTCACATAGTTGTATCTCAGCCAAATATTGTCCTATCCTAACAAACCACACATCAATCTTCAAGCTTATTTATTCAGCTTTCAGATGATGCATACATCTCAATTTAACAAAATTGACACTTATGACTGGTTTTGTGCTCCAGGGTCTTGTAATGATGAATCGGCTGGGATTTGTCTGTTTTGGGGTTTGTTTCAGTGCAGGATGAACGCTCAGGTGGTGCGCAGGGGCATCAGCGTCCAGCAGTCTGACCTGATGTGTAAGAGAGGATGCGGTTTCTACGGTAACGCCGTCTGGCAGGGCCTCTGCTCCAAATGCTGGCGTCAGGAGAACCAGTGCACCCGAGCCAAGCAGATAGAGGACGACAGAGCGCTTGCCGAGAGGTGAGAGACTGGACGATGAATGATGGTTTCGCTCTCCTGTGGTCAGCTGCTGTAGTGCTGTGTGTCTGTCAGGCTACAGAGAGAGGAGGAAGCAGCGTCTGCCAGCAGCCGTGAGGAGGCGCCCTCACGACCAGAATCCTCCAGAACACAC